AACTATTCGTTCAAATCGTATTCCAATTTCTATCACATCCGGAAATCCGAATACCATGATGTCTGTAAAATTAAATGCAGAACTATATTGGTACTGTTGAGAAATCAAAACGAATGTTTTTTGCCAGGCAGAGATATTGTTAATCAAATTTCTTGGTAACTAGGCCTACGGTATTTAATATTGTTTGTGAAAAAAACGATTCGGAAGATGAACCACATCAAATCCACCTTACTCTCTGTCGCCAATGATAATGTACCTTTAATTTTTTTTTCTTCTCCACAGTAATGCTTCAAGAGCATACGATGCATTATCATTTTTAATATAATAACATTATTTTGGGAATAATCTGCGACTTAATCTATGTCCAAAGTTGTATTTGACAAATTTGAGTGATGTGCCCATATATGGGCATGATTATGGCACATATTACACCCAAATAATATGGCATATTGCATTTTCATTTTGTGAAATCAAATGTGACGATGTGGACAAATCTTAGTCTATGTTTTCACACAGCAGCTAACGGTTAGCAGGATCCGGATCCTGCTAACCGTTAGCTGCCGTTTGCACATAAGAGAAAATCCCGATTCGAATACCAAAAATATGATGATCGAATCACTGACCAATAAGAAACTGGAAATTGTAAACGCGTACGTGTGATTGGTTGATGATAGAAACGCCCTTAACTTGCTAACCGATAACGCTTGCTATCCGTTAGCGGTATCCGGATACCGCTAACGGTTAGCGCTAACCGATTGGGATCACACAGGTGCTAACGGTTAGCGCGAACGGTTAGCTCCCGATCCGGATACTAGGGCTCTCGTGAGAACCAGGCTTTAAGGTTTCTTCTTGAATATATAGATAGTCTTTTTACTGTTTATAGCCGTTTTCCGAGGTCTATTTACAGCTGCCCGTGTTCAATTGAAAAACACAATTCCAATTACACTCTACTATACTTTAGTTAATATTCCAATCTATTGTAATAATAATGTATAATATTATATTGATTTTAAATGTTTTTAAACGTTTTACAGAGACCAGCGTTGTCCTTCAATTTGAGTTCTTGTGATATTATACTGGATAATCTATAATATTTAGTGTGATGCGGTTATCAAAAGAAAAGAACAGTGTCTCCGTAACTTGATATTATCACTTCATTTATGTGGTTATTGATGTTCGGAAGTTTAATACTTTGTGTGTACTGTACTGAAATACTGTAGTTTAGTGCAATATTGAAATGATATATGCGATATGGTTAGCAAACTATGATTGCTAACTCCTTAATTCCTTATGATTGAATCTTTTGTTTTGAACATAATTGTAGAAATCCAGTGATGAAAGTGGTTGAACTAAAATCTCTGCTAATACTATTAAAAGCTTCTTTCAAACAAATACAAGGAGTAGGTGGCCTAAAGCTCGTCCTAATTTTATGTAAAATAATGGATATCTTCAATTAGCCTGATATGTTGGTCAATATTGCGTCTTAATATAATATGTTTGGTTAATACTGATTAATTTATATAATTTACTCAATGTTTATTAGCCACTTTGGGAATCCGGCGTTCAGTCAACTGACCATATTTGGTATTATTTTCTCGGGTTTCCCTTCTATTTTAATCTTAGAACTCCACCTTTTTGTGTGATTGAGAGTTCGCCCTCTTCCATTATGCTCTTTGCGTTGCCTCTGTGTCATTTATTTGAGCATCTTTTTTTAATACAATCAATTGCTATTTGTATTCACATTGGTCTTGTGCGATCGTGTTTAAAGTTATTTAATTTGTTACTATAAAAGTCAAAAATTGTACTTTTTTCTTTGCTGTACCTTAGCAGTTAAATATTTTTGCATAGCATCCTACTTTATATTTTTACATAGTTCCAAATTGACTCGATTAGATACAATTTGAATTTCACTTTCACAATTTAATAAAAAAATAATTATTAATAGATGACGAATTATGAAACGTGATAGGCTTGGCACCTTAACCTTTGATGATTAGTGGCCAAAATTTATTACAAAAATTTAAATTCAATAATGACAAATTGATTATTTATTATAATATTTCGGATAATAATTTTGACAGTGCACAATATGGCACAACGACCTGTCTCAACTCTTTGAGTGTCTGTATTCAAAATTTCCTTACAAGAACCTCCAACATTTCTATCTGTGCTCTCCCATTGTATATCGAAATTATATTTTCACTGTTTATAATTTTGTATTACTAATAAATTCCTTATTGACATACAATTTTGTTTGCTTTAGGTATAGTTACAAGACTTATAATGTAGACAGAGCAATGGATCGAAATGTTGCTTAATGAATTGCTGTTATGTTTGCTTGTCCTACTAACCTTCCTTGGAATCCAAGCTAAAGGTAATGATTTTTCTCAATAAAACTTTATGGAAAAAATAAATGTGAAGTTGGCATGTGACAGCGTGGAAAAAATAGATAGTGTGGACACACCTTTATGAACAATTAAATAATTTCTACTAAACTTACTTTTTATATGGAATTATTTCACGTCTAATTCAAACGTGTAAACGTGGATTTCCTTAATTGTATTTTGTTACAATAAACAAACAAGTGACCGGTATTATGATAACCGACTTTCCTGGGTAAAAAAAAATAATAATAATAATAAAGGAGAACTAGTTATAACAGTATTCATTATACAGACGTCAGATAACTATGGTTGGTTGGTTGGCAGGCAATCAATGGTTACCGGTAATGGTTACTTATAACGTACTCGCTTGGCATCGATTGAAGATAATACCAAGCGAAGGAAGAAAAAACATCATCAAAATATAAAAGAAACAAAATGAAGGTTGGCAGTCTTTATTTTATGGTCAACAGCAATTTGCTGTACACTTGTAATAAACGCATATTAAATTCATCGCTTTACCAAAAAATCAAGATAATTGGTGGGGTAGCTGAATGACTTATTGACAAGCAATATACAAAAGGAGGAAAGGTCGTTATCGAAAATGAATGACGGATTGACATCCAACAAACAAACAAATAAATAGGACTAAAAGAACACGAAATAGGCCTAGATGACTTGACAGAATACATGATTAGCTTAAAATGAATAGAAAAAAATTTAGACTTGATCTTGAAGATGGTGATAATATTGATGTCGATTGTTATTAGGCCTATCCTCATCGTCAATTTTTAACGAACAGCAACCCTTGCCTTAAAGCCATTCTCAAAGATATCATCAAACGGAAAAATGAATCCATAACAACTACGTTAGCACAGTTATAAGTAAATACATTCTTTATTTCAGATTTACCATGTAATATTTGACATAAACACATTTTCTGTCAATTAAAATCATGGAGAAATGTGTCAAATTTAGACCATCTGACCAACCATACCAACAGTGGAGCCATCAATTGTGACGCTTACGTTATTACATTGCGGTGTTTAAAATACTCTCCAATCAATTTTAGCCTGGTTCTCACGAGAGCCCTGGTATCCGGATCGAGAGCTAACCATTAGCGCGTGAGAACGCCCGATCGGTTGGCGCTAACCGTTAGCGGTATCCGGATACCGCTAACGGTTAGCAACCAATCACACGTACGCGTTTACAATTTCCAGTTTCTTATTGGCCAGTGATTCGATCATCCTATTTTTGGTATATGGATCGGGATTTTCTTGTATGGACGCACGGCAGCTAACAGTTAGCAGGATCCGGATCCTGTGAGACGTGTGAGAACATAGCCATAGAGAAAATAATTAATAGGTTGTGATAAACAAAATGACAAATCATGAACCTAAAGCTCTGTCCACACTATCAAATTCTCTTTGACAAAACACGATGACGTGTATTTCAATACTTGGAGTAGGCCCTATGTATTATACTTTCTTAAACACTGTTGTATGTCCATATATAGTCATGATGTGTAATGTGATGTTATCGTTACCATATTTAGGCATGTCACATGTTTTTCTGAAATAGAATTTGATAGTCCGAACAGAGCTTTACAATCATCCCACAATTCCACAGGGCACTGACGAATAAATTTTTTAGCGCATAAGCAAAGTCTCAACACGCTGGTTAAAGAAATGGAATAAAAATGTTTAAAAAGACTCACAAGTTAATAATATTAATTGTTATTTATTTACATTTAGGGAACTTTAAGTGGGAAATATTTTAAGGACAATGATAAATTAACGAAAATGGCATTTTCAAATATAGACAAAAGGAAATGGAGCATTTATATACTTTAATCTAAACAATGACTAATGACATAAATGTTTTGTTACAACCTCAGATAGTTGTCTCAGATTATAACTTTCAAATTTGACAATAATTAAATGTGTATACCACTACTGTGTTGTATATGTTCCAAACTTCATGTTCACCAATTTTCTCTACAGAACTCAATAGGCCTAGTATAAGTTTCTTTTCTTATGTTTTCCGTTGTCGTGAGATTTTTGCTTTCTATTTTGCTTTTGTTTCGCATTCCCGAAAGCGTTTTAATAATCCTAGCCAAAGTTCATTGGGTTTTAGATATAAAATGCAACCATATATTTATAGAGATTTTATCATAATTCAATTATGATTTCAATTACTGTTTTTTTTAAATAAGCCCCATCTTTGTTAGGCTACATATTTTCAACATCACGTTTAAACCAAATTTATTTAACAACACAATTATGATAACACAAAATGTTCTACCTACACTAAGTCTCATTATGAGGAGTTCTTTTTTTTGGTTGTACGAATAATCCATGAATTGGAAAGCAAGCATCTTAACCATCAAGCTAATCAACCCTTCAGTTATGACCTTCATAGTGTTGAAGCATTCTGGAGACAATGAAAAGAGTTTAGGACTCAATTCTTGAAGAGTTATCAACATTTGTCTTTTCCTATACTGGTTCATGTAATGATTCATGTAATGCAAGCACCTTAACCATCAAATTAATCAACCCTACTACAGTTATCTAAAACAATATTATTGCATCGTGACATGACTTTCATAGTGTTGGAGCATTCTGGAGACAATGAAAAATTTTTTGAAGAGTCATCAACATTTGTCTTTCCCCATACTGGTTGATGTAATGATTTTTGCACGACAATCTATAAAAATCCGAATGGTCCTTAAATTTGAAGTATAATTATTGTTACAAGTAATTTTATGTTATTCTGTCAATATTGCAATCGATTGATGCTGCGTTGTATAAATTTAATGATTCCAGAGATGACAACAAATGTGAATACTGCTTAGCAACCCTTTTTATTGTATCATGTTTATAGCATCTTCAAAATGCATCACACATTTTTTCCACAACTACTAAATTTTCTCTTGAAGAGAAATAATTTTTAAAGGACATTTAAAATGTAGTCTAGGAACATTTCCAATCTGTAAACGTCATCGTATTAGCGTAAAACACTATGATACAAAATGACACCAAATTCACATAGGATTACAAAATACTTTAATAATATTTAGGAACGGTACTCTCGTGTCTGCAAAATTGGCGAAGAAAATATTTTAGCATTTAAATTTGAAACTGAAATTAACTTAAAGATACAAAAAAGTAAAATCTTCGTTGTCCAAATTTGCAAAAAGAAAGTAAGCAATGCAATATTGAATGGTATTTATCAAGTTTTAGTTAATATAAAATATAGCATATTTTCAAAACGTTAAAATATTAATTTATAAAAAATCAACATTCAATGAGATAGAGATCACTAGACTAAAACTAAATTTTCGCTGATATGCAGTATATTCAAATATGACAATCTTAGAATTCATTATCAGTTGTTATGAGTATAAATAATATAACAACGACATTGTTTATGTGTCTGTAAATAATGTGGTAGATCGTTTTAATTATTTTAACTTTTTTTTTTATCAAAGTAAACAATTTAAATACTTATAAATAAATACTTAATTTTGTTGTTAATATTCATCTGAACGCAGATAGTATACCTTAATTAAGACAAAATGCATTTTTCAGGATCATCCGCTGCGATCCGTTACCACTCAACCTACATCCTACATTGTTTGCCTAATTTCAGGTTCAAAAATCATAATTTGTGAGAACGATGTAGGAACATTGGAGTGTAACTGCATGTACAAGATACGTGTGCTCTCTGCATTATATGGTCGAATGCAGCCAGGTAACGTATACTGCCCTCACTCTAGCATAGTTACAGTGGGATGTTCGACCGACGTGCTTATAGCGATCGCATCCACGTGCAATGGTACGAAGACGTGTACCATACGTGCTTCTAATGTATATGATGATCCTTGTCCTGGTACCTTCAAGTACATGGAAGTGGAATATGAATGTTTGAAACCTGAAGGTAATTTTGAAATATATCACTTAGTTCCAGTTTAAGGCGCAGGGGGCGTTGATCGCAATCCATTGCTCGTGGGTTTGATCTCAGGGTTTTCATATTTTTGTTCATGGCCAATGAGCAAAGGTATTTTTTATAATAATAACGAAATAAAATAATAATAATAATAACGAATTAACCGAAATCGGTTCCAAGCTCAATCACTTCCAAAAATGGAAAAAATCAAGCCGAAATTGCTGATATGTTTAATGAGCATTTCTCCACTATTGGAGGACGTATGGCAAGTAGTGACGACGTCACGCGCGAACTTGAAATGGACAATGCCCATTTGTCATATTCTGAACCAATTCAGCAATGTACTCTGCCTAATATCACGGAAGACTTTGTTCGAAAACAAACCACATCAATGTTGCAAAGCAACTGGTCCGGATGGCGTTAGTGTAAAAATGCTAAAGCTTGCGTCTCCGCACATTATTAAATCATTAACGCACGTATTGAACCTCTCAATTAAATGTGAACAGTATCCCTCTGATTGGAAACATGCATTAGTCACACCGATTCACAAAGGGAGACAAATGCAATACTAGCAATTATAGGCCCATTTCAATACTTTCAATTATTTCAAAGATTTTAGAAAGATGGGTGCACTCGGCTGTTTATTCATTCCTTAATGGAAATAATCTTATTCCTCGCTGCCAATCGGGGTTTAGACCATTGCATTCAACTGAAACAACATTGCATGATTAACGAATGAATGCCTTCATGCTATGGAGCGTGGTGAAATGACTGGTACTGTTTTTATTGCTCTCAGTAAAGCAGTTGACTCTGTAAACCATACAATTCTCCTAGATAAACTTAGGCATATGCATATGTCTGCTTCTGTCATTATGTGGTTTACATCTTACCTAAGCGATCGAAGTCAATCTGTTAATATTGGTGGGAAATTATCAAAACCTTTGCCATTAAACACTGGCGTACCACAAGGATCGATTTTGGACATAGTTAATGATATGCTGATGACTCAACGTTAACCTGTTGCTCCTCCAGTGTTAAGGATATTGAAAATAATTTAAATGTCGCACTGGACATAGTTAATGATTGGGCCATTAGAAACAAACTTACAATTAACTCAAACAAGACTAAATCCATGCTCGTTGGATCCAAAAAGAAAATTTCCAATGTAGACTTCAATGTAACCATTGCCCATACTGTAATTGTTAGAACGAAATCATGTAAGTGTCTTGGTGTCATCATTGACGAAACTTTGAGTTGGACACCACATGTTGAATTCGTCAAGAAAACTGTTTCATCCAAACTGGGTATGTTAAGTAGAATAGGTAATTGCTGTCTCTTATACACATCTAGATGTGTATAAGAGACAGATGTTAACACAGTCAACACATGCTCCCACTGGAAACCAGTAGGGTATCTAGGGAGTGCACTGAGGGCTCCCATACCCAAAATTACTAAACATAAATTTATAACAGAAGAGGAACCTGACAAAGAAAGAAAAAAAAACCCCGGACCTTTTGCATACATGGCGAACGTTATAACCACTTGACTGCAGAGGGCACTGTGATGATGACTTTGTCAGGTTCCTTTTCTGTGTTGCCGTTTCAATCTATATTATTCCTTACATTTTTTCTCTTGCTGTTTCCGGGTATTCCACGCATCACTTCTAACTCAGGACCTTCTGCAGGGGCGGATCCAGAGATGTCCAAAAGTGGGGGCCAAAGAAGGGGCCAAAATTTGGGCCGATCGAGACAACACTGAAATAGGAGATCCGGGGGCATGTCCCCACGAAATTTCTGTGTTTTAGACGCCCGAAAATAACATTTGAGGCGTTCTGGGCTATCGTTTTTTCTTTTTCTTTCTTTTCTTCTTTTTTTCCCTTCTTTTTTTTACCTCTCAAGAGGGGGGGGGATGTTCTGCTGTCTATGCAGACGCCACAACTGGGCCATTGACTAGGTTTCGTTGGGAATTCAAATCCGATTTAAGCAGCAATCTTCACACTCATTTTCGCATGAAGAATGAGATGCTTTAATCGCAATTGAATTCCAAACGAAGCCTAGTTTGTTAAGGTGTCTGGATAGACAGCAAAAGGTCCCAGTTTCGAATCCCCGTTGAGGAATCTTTTTTTCACACTCGCAGATTCCTCTATATATTCAAATTAAGTTGCAGTTTAGCACTGGGAACACATATAAAGCAGCTTATAAATCAAATAGATAATAATACAGTGCTCATTTACAGTATATAAGAACATGATTGCATATAATATATTTGTATAAAAAAAAGATGTCTATGGGTGGAATCGAACCAGCAATCTCCCGTTATCTTTTCGAGCGCCATACTGTTTAGACCACAAAGGCAGTCCTGTACGATATCATTAAGGATCTGAGACCACTAGTCTCTTTCCTTTCATCAACTTGCGCTTGTTTTTGTATTGAGTATGTACATTTTTTGAAAATCTTTGGGTTTAGTAATTAAGACTGATTTTGAAAATGTTGTTAGGTATGAATACAAAATAACAATTATCTATTTATTAGATTTTGAGGTTGCAGTCGGCCAATGCGTCAAGCAGGCCCTGACTACACATTCACTAACGTAAAATATCTGCTCCTACATGAGATTGGAATAGGAGGTGCTACCTTCGTTTGGATTTGTAAAACTAATATCGTCAGTCCGACGATGTCGTCGTGGCGTCGGATTAGGGGTTGGGTGGTCCATATTTTTAAGGGGGAGGGGATTCAACAAAATGAACAATTCCATGCCAGTGCGATGCAAGCAGCGATAATATAGATTAAATATGAATTCCAGACATGCCATTGATATTATATGCTACAACCAGAACCACTGCATTTTGTCTGGAGCGTTTTAGTCCAAGGACCTCGATCGGAGGATGCCTTCTCTGGAATTGCAGTATTAGGCCTATTATAAGACAAAATAGAAATCACCAAATTACCGTAGTCCATACCAAAAACTGCTGATTTTTCTCGAGGCCTTTGTCCCTTGCACCCAAACCAGACCATCATCATCAACATTACCATCGTCATCGATATCATCATCATCGTAATCATTATCGTCATCACCCCACCATCATCATAATTATTTCATGTATTGTCTGGGCACCCATATAAACAAAATTCACGTTAGGAACTCTGGACCCCTGTACAACCAACCACACTCTAACAGTGGCCTCCGGGCCTCCAAAATTTCACAACAAATTGCCGTTGAATAGTGCTCTATTGGGTATGTCTTTATTATCTAGTAGGCCACAGTCAACTCGGCCACAAGTCAACTCGGCCACAAAAATTTCGGCTTCTGCCAACTCGGCCACAAGTCAACTCGGCCACAAGTCAACTCGGCCACAAATCAACTCGGCCACAACTCAACTCGGCCACAAGTCAAAGTCAACTCGGCCACAAACATATCGGCTTCTGCCAACTCGGCCACAAGTCAACTCGGCCACAAGTCAACTCGGCCACAAATCAACTCGGCCACAAGTCAACTCGGCCACAAGTTATTTAATGTAAATCTGAGTTTTTGCATCCTTTTTCTTCAATATATGATTGAAATAAAGTACACAGTATGTTTTAGTAAAACAGGACCACCACACTACCAAAAGAGATTTGAATGCTATTGCCTATGAATTAAAAAGAGTTATTTATTAATCTTCTGTTTACTCACAACATTCTACTTCAACAGTAATATTAAACAACCATAACGACAATAAATTAGTAATATTTACATTAATAATACTAATTAGTCATTATGACGGTAATAAATGTGACAACAACAACATTAACAGTAATATTTATTTTAACAAATAGTAATAATACTAGTATTAATAACGATATTGAAGGTGATAATAGCAATAATACAATAATAAATTAAAGATAATGTTTATTTTTATGATAATAGTAATACTAATTAGTAATAATAATAATAATGATACTTATAATACTAGGCCTACTTAGTAATAATAGGGTAATAATATCGATAATAAAGGTAACAACAATAATATTAATAATATGAGAAAAATATTAATAAAACCCCAATAACAACTTCTTAAATTACTATTATTAAAATTATAATACTAAGACTAATAAATAATAATAATAATAATTGATCTGGTTCTTCATGTCCATTTTTCGTGATTATGACTATTCTGGATAAAGAATGTTTTGAGCAGAGGTGGATTCAAGGCACTCCCCCTCCCCCCTTCATTTATTAAGGAAAAAAAAGGAAAAATATATTCAAATTGAAGTGCGAGAGTGTAATTTCCGGCCATCTAGAGATGCCCTAATCATAAATTTTCTTACCTCAGCCCCAACCATGGTGGGGCTGAGGTGGGTGGTTCCTCGGTCTGTGAAAGTTCCTCCCTGGTTCACTCTCTTTCGAATTCCTGGATCTGCAACTGTTGATTTATTATATAATTATTTTTTCGCTTATTTATAATGCGTCTATTGCAATTTTCACTATATTCTCTCAAACAGTCCTAAGAGCGTTCAGAGTGTGCTACTTCACAGGGGGATTCGCCCCCTTGACCCCGCCGGGGTCATACGTAATTCGCATAACGGCTCCCCCCCCCCCTTTCAAAATCCTGGCTACGTCCCTGCCTGGAGCCAGGCTAAAACCAGTCATTGTATCATTGTATTCGTGTTCTTTGCACTTTATATTCATGGAGGAATTCAATACATCTAGGTTAATCATGGCACTGATAGAAATTTAATTTGAAACAGTTTATCATATTTGCAATAGACCTACATTTGTATCTATGTGTCCATGGTGGGACTGAGCAGGACATGAAGTCTAGTTCCCACTAACTTTAATTCTCGTGTCTGTCAATGCAGCAGGATGGGAAGGGGTGAGGCTCTACAGGTTTCCCAGCTGTTATTTTCGGGCATCCAGTGGTGCCATATTTCCAAAGAGATAGACTCTATATATATGCTAACTTTAAATCTTGTGGCTGCATTTAAAGGGGGAGAGGTAGCGGCTTTACAGGCTGTCAGCATCTATTTCCGAGCATTCAGAGGTTATTCACCAACCATGATGGGGGCTGGGGCGGATATGCTCTGAGACCCTACAAACATTAAAATATTGTATCCTTGGTTTGGGGTAGCGGATCAGTATAATTAAACCTCCACCCCCATCTTTCATTATAATGTCCAGAGCACTTGCAAAATGCTTACGACGGGTATTAATGTACCTGACCTATTCAATTTTTGGTGGTACAGAAAGCTTTCTGCCGATTTTAAGATTTTACGCTGACGAAAAGAACGTCAAAATGTGAAGTCTGCGGAATTATCATTTAATTTTAAAGTTCAATTGTGTCGTAATGATTGTTAAAATGTATAGCATTGTTTTTCGTCAGTAAATTGAGTAAGGTGTGACGAGAAAGGTTCTCCAGTAAAATTGGATAAGCTACGACAAGAAAAGAGTGAACGTTTAGTGACATTAACTTGGTTTGAGCCGAAAATGTTATCATGATGGGCCAGTTCTCCCCAATAAAAGGAGAAGCTACTGGGTCCCGTCCCCTCTTCGTTTCTGGCCCACCACTGATTTTTTTTAACACTCTAGACTGTATTTTGCTTTGTTTTATACCGTGTACTGTTGAATAATCAATCAGTTTCATTACTAATCAGTTCGTCTATTTTGCTGGCCTTTTCTTGAAGTGCCTATTTTGCAACATGGAGCGACAGGATTATATTATATTATATTATATGCACCAGACATTGTCAAATCACATGTTCTTTAAAAGATACCGATTGTATATGTAGATACGCTTACTATTGTGTGTCCCGACGACGTCTTTGAATGTGCAGATACATTACTCAATGTTGCAAAAATAACGTGGAAACCCGCCCAAGTTGTTGACGCCATGAGAAGAAAGCTTGAAACAACGCACAGCATATCTAATGGATCTTTTCTTTCTACTGGAGAAATATTTATAAACGTAACGACAAATGACTCCGGCTGTTACGACGTTGCTTCCTGCTCATTTAGTGTTTTTGTCGATGGTTTGTTCTACTTTCTTCTTTCCATACTGTAGTTTATATTAAAGGTATTCGTCGACTGTCAAACTCCACATATCATTTATATTAACCATTCTCAACAAAGAACATTTAATTGTCATTGACAGCGATATGCTCTATGGCAAACTTGACATAGTGCTGATGTTGACTGTCACTAAAAAGCAGAAAGGTAACTACCAAAAGAATTATCAAAGACAAAATTAAGAAAAAAATAGTCCAGAAATTGCTGCACCGGTTAATTGTCAGCCGAAATAAAGACATGTAAAAATAGTATGGGGAAAAAAATAGTTTAGTTTACTCAGTTGAAATTTACTAACTTTTATAAATATACATATTTTGAATTTAAATATGTGTCAAAGATCTAATTAAGAATTTGGGCCACACTTGATGCACGTAAATCTTCTTTTAACCTCCTATTGAAATTAGGCTGTATTTTTCCATTTATGAGAAATAACTTACGCACTCTTGGACGTAATACCTTTCGAACATGTAACGTTGATAAACGAATTTGGAACCATATTAGAATAATTATATAGGTGCATGAAGTAAAAGCGATTAAAAACTATACATTTCAACATGATTTAAAAAGTATTCAATATATAAATTAATTTTTAAAAAATAAATGTTATATTGGTAGGCAGATTGGCGCAGTGTGCGCTGTTTGATTTCCAGACCTCGATGTCGGGAGTTCGAACCTCGTGCTTTCATTCAGTCCAGTCTGAGATCCATAAGTTCGAAAAAATTTTTTTATTGCTTATGAACCCTTCCATGCATAATATACTCAAAATTATAATTATAATAATAATAATAATTTAATAATAATAATAATGACAATGGTAACAATAATAACAACAATAATTATTTATAATAATAAATAACTATTAATAATTATTATTAGTAATAATAATTATTATCATTTTGAATTTTCTAATTGTCCTGTTATGCAGATTGCGGTTCCGTGTCATCGTGTAGTTCAAATTTGTCTGCAGATTGTATTTTGAACTTTGCAAAACAAACTTCAGTTAACAACGTACAATATGTAAGTGACATTAGATACTGTGCTTATCAAGTATTTACATTAACTGTGCAATTTAATGTATCAACCTTACAAAGTAGGCCTATCATGAATACAGTTGGGTCCTACAGTTATAATTATATCGTAATTCCTTATCACCCTGTCTCTTATACACATCTAGATGTGTATAAGAGACAGGTTTCCATGTCTTTCATTGTATGCAGCAAGTAAAAAACATGTTCCAAAGTTATTGTATAAATCATTTTCCCACCTGCTTCCTAAAATTGCCCACAAAAACAAATCTGTAAAAGGGCGCTCCAACTCTCCTTTAAGTTCACTTTCGTTAATCTGGTATAAGGGTGCTCCTGTTAATGACCGAATTATTGACGAAACGTGATCAAGAATAACAGAATTCTGAAAGAAGAAATCAGTGAAAAGGGTGGTTGCCTTAATACCAGTGTTTACATGGAGGATATTAGACTACAAATGACCCCCAAC